AACCATGATCAAACAAATCTTTCATTGAACCAACATCACACCAATAAAAATCCCACTCATCTTCTCTAAACGTAACAAAATAAACATCACACTGAGACTTTATACATCTAAACAAATACTATCAACTAGGGAGCAGACTACCAACGCCTTTCCAGCTGAAAATACATTGACAGTCGCGATTCGTTGAAAAAAAATTGTCGACACCTGTATCTTGACCGAACCATTCTCATGCCATCGGACATACAGCATAAGAACATCGTTTAACATCGATTTCTCATGCCTTCACTCACATTTTTTTCTTTCTTTTATTCATTTTGCACATCTATTTTCACATAGGAGATCGAATAAGGATAAAAAATAAAATAAAAAGTTTCAAAACCAATAACCAGCTGTTCGTTGCTTAGTAGCCAACGATCTCGGAATATAAATATGGCTGAATATTCTTGATTTATTTATTTATTATTACGTCATAAACGCAAGTACTTGTTGATGGCATTAAAAAGTCTTGCTTCTAAGGTTTGTTAAGATATTGAAATAAAGATTATTCTGTATCGGTTTACCTTCATTAATTATTTTTAGGCATTTGATAGCCGAAGAGAAAAGCGACGTGGAATTGTGTGAGTAAAACATTCAAGTGAACTGTTTTTTCGAAGGACTGGATTTCTCTATTCTGTTTTAGTGATCGTCCGATTCGATTTCGATCGTTTTTACAAAATACAATACTTGAAGTATTGAAAAATCGAGGATGGGTTGAGGTAGGAGAGTAAGTTTCTAGCTTGATTTGTTTGTTTAGATGTATAAAGTCTCAGTGTGATGTTTATTTTGTTACGTTTAGAGAAGATGAGTGGGATTTTTATTGGTGTGATGTTGGTTCAATGAAAGATTTGTTTGATCATGGTTACTTTGAAGAACATATGAGAATTAACCATTTTAGAAATCATTATGAAGTATATCATTTTGATCATGTACTCTTTTAAACGTTATTTTATTTTTTCTGTTTAATTGCATAGTTAACGAGAAAAGATTTGATGGTGAAGAATTTGAAACGTTTTAGAAAACAAGTTGAACGAGAACAAGGCCGTTTAGAAGCATTGAAGTACGTGCAAACTTAAGAAGAAAATGAACTCAATATCTTTTTTATAAACCGATAAAATTTACCATCAATAGTATCTGTCGTGTTACTATTCTTTTACTTTAAATATACTTTATTTTATATTTAATTAGATGTGATTTTTTTCCAACAACTTATGTACTTCCAGTGAGTTTAAATGTTTGTGCTACATGATAAATAGTCGAATTGTTCTTCTACTTCTTTTTTTTCTAGTCCGAATATCATTTATTTGTTGAAGAATTCAAACGTAATCCAGATACGATTTGGATAATGAAACCAGCAGCGAGAGCGCAAGGCAAAGGAATATTTCTCTTTCGACGATTACAAGATATCACAGCATGGCGAAAAGTATGATACTGTGTTTAAAAAATGATGTTGTTTGATTATTTATTTGTTCCTCAGGGTGAATATTTAACGGGTTATGAAAAAGAAGCAAACAAAGGTGATGCAGTTGAAACGTATGTTGTCCAACGTTATTTGGATAATCCTTATGTGATCGGAGGAAAAAAATTTGATATTCGAATATATATGCTCGTTACATCTGTGAGTATAAACTTGTTTATCATCAACTGTCAAAGTTAATATATATTTTCACTTTTTTCTAGTATAATCCATTGCGTGTTTGGTTATATCGTGAAGGTTTTGCACGTTTATCGGGAACGAGATTTTCATTAGAAAGCATCGAAGATACATGTATCCTTCAGTAGAGAATAATTGTTTTCAAGAAAAGAGTTCACCTTTTCTATAGATCACAGATTGAGTATGCATTATTGTTTGAGTTATTGACGCTTTCTAATACGAATAATATTAAGAGATATTATTGTAACATTCATATAGGAGAATTCAATAGGCAGTTCTCATTGTATAATACGCACAACCTTCAGTTAGGGTAATTATTCTTCAAAACCAAATATGGCTTATCAAATTTTAAAAATGCTTAAGTTGTTACTGAAGTAGACGATACCATTTGATTAGATTCGTGTTGCGAAGTCTCTGTCGTTATTTCATCTCTTCCTTTACAATTTTTCTGAGAACTATCGCTCTTCACCTCATTGTGCCATTTCTGAGATGTGTTCCCTGAAAGAAATTTATGTTCTAATTTTAAATTATTTTAGTTAATCTGAATTTTAAATGGTTTTATTTTTTATCAACAAAACAAGCATAATAGTAAAAATAAGCTTCATTAGGAAAACTCATGGACTATATGAAATTTGAGTTATCAAATCTATCACTAAAATCATGCTTAGTTGTAGTATTTTATTTTTGTAACAGAAATAAATTTGTTTAGAAAAGGTGCGGATACACAGTACAGATGTTTTAACACTCGCTTTAACTTAAAATCATCCAGATGCGCATCGCACTTTTGACGTATGTCTGAGTTAGAATGAAACTAAAAATCATGAATAGAAAAATCGCGAGAGTAAAAGCCATGATAATACGTTAAGAGTTTAAATTAGTTTAATTTTTTTGTGTACACACATGTCTACTTGACAAAGAGTTAATATTTGGAATGCACACGATTTTAAAAGTAGAACAAATAATAATTGTGATGGTATAAGAACGTTTACCGAGTTCTTCTGGCTCGGTTTGGGATGTATTATTTTTATTAGACTGGCACAATCAATTCAATATTCGTATGAATAAATATTATCCCAATGTATAGCATTTTATTATTTGTGTAAAAAATTAACTTTTGTAATAAATGAGACAGTAGCCGATAGGAAATTTTTATTACTACACCCGGTAGTTGAAGAACTTAATATGATCAATGTATAGCAAACACTCTGTTTGTTCATCTTTACTATAGCGGTAAATAGTCAGATGGACAAAAGATTATATTGTACATGGTTGACTAAAAACATACATCATTTTTTGTTGGATTGTTGGTGATGATTCAAGTAGAAAGATACTACTCCTAATATATTCTTGTCAATAAATATGTGTATAAACAAAAAATTAAACCAATTTGAACTCTGAACGTATTTTCGCAATTTCTTCATTCGCCGTTTTTAGTTTTACTCTTACTTAGACAATTTCAATTTTAAGTTTGCCTAGACTAAAAATGAGTTATGTCTAGATTAATTAAAAGCAATCTGAGTTTTGTTAGGCTTTTAACATATATTCTTTTACATATTTCTCTTTTTTTCGATAGGCATTTATCACTCGTTTACGAATATTAGTTAGACCTTATTTTTTTTATACAATGGAGAGAAATAGTAACATTTTGGATCCATGTCATCCAATTACTATTTTTTCTTTTCATTCATTGATAGTTAAAGATACTACATTACCAACCTTCTGAACTTAGAAAATTCTTGATTAAAAAACGAAAGTTGTTGAAAACGCGACTTTCCAGCATTTTTGAACAGGAAGTAATATTATTCAAAAACAAACACATCTGTCATTTTGTCTCAGATAGGCTAGTTGTTTAAACTTAATGAAAAGCTTGAAGTATTATTCAATAAATTTAATATCATATCCTTAACATCAAGCGTATAGATGTTCACATAACTAATAATGCTGTTCAAAAAACGGCACCAAATTATGATCCAGATAAAGGTATTATTGTTTCCTCGCATCAATAGTATTTTCGCTTCATTGTTTTTTCTTCACTAGGTTATAAATGGTCAATGTCTCGATTAAGACAGTATTTGACAGCTAAACATGGATCAGAAATTGTATGATAAAAGACGTATATCTCTTTACATGTGTTAACTTCGGTTTTTTGTTTTTTTGTTCTAGGTTGAAATAATGTTAAAACAAATGGACGATATATTCATAAAAAGTTTGCAAAGTGTTCAAAAAATAATGATCAATGATAAACATTGTTTTGAACTATATGGTTATGATATATTGCTCGATGCCAATTTAAAACCGTGTGTATTTATGAATTTCTTAAATATGTACACTTGTCTGTCTTTTTCTTTTCAGATGGTTGATTGAAACAAATGCATCACCATCATTAACAGCAAGTAATCAAGAAGATAATGATTTGAAATATCGATTATTAGATGATATGGCCAATGTTATTGATATGGAAGGACGGTATGAATATTCTACAATATATTTTCTTTTCTAAAACAATTTTATTTCTATTTTTGTGCTCAGATTAACTTTAAAAGAAAAACGTGTGGGAGGTTTTGATTTAATTTACAACGATGGTCCAGTATATTGTGATGATACTGGAATAGAAAGTTTTAACTTAAATACATTGAGAATCAATAGTTTTCTTGGTAAGTGACAATATTCATCTGAAACAAACTATACAAAATTGTAAAACGATGTTTTGTAGGTTGTGCGAATGATCGAACAACACAACTGAAACATTTGTATCGTCAAAATTTAATATTGAAAAAAATGGAAAAAGCAGCAGCTCAAAATAACGTCTAATCGACACTTGTTTTACAAAGTTTTTTTTTAATTATCTCCTTTATTCTGCCTAATTCTAGTCAATTATCTGTTAATAAATAAAAAAATAAAAACAGAAATTATGTATCTAAAATCGGTACCCGTTCATCAACATTCATGACATTTGCAACATTCTAAACAAGTACAACAATATTTGTAGAGTCTAACTTAGTCCAATAATATATGTCAATGTACACCTTAAGCAGATATAGGTTTTGAGTCATCAGTACAGAAGACTTTATGGTTTTCTTACTACAGGATAACGCTAGATCTTGGCTGTTAAATTGAAAGTTAGACATACCATGAATTACTGTTGTCATATGTACTTGTTTTTAAGAATTCTTATATTTTTAATCTAAACTTACAAAAAATATATTTGCTTTTAATTTAAAATTATAGCATTAAATTAGTGTATTTGAAATGATATTTGAAGATGATTTTTATAGTTCTTTAATATTATTCAAGTTGACAATTATTCTTTTTTGCAATTGTTTCTCGCTTCCTCTTTTATCTTTGAAACAAACGGTTTTATTAGTAACATTATGCCGTTAGAGAAAGGAAATATTGATGTAGCAGCAAATGGTTCAACAACTGAATGTACCACCTCTAATTTTCCCACGCGTTTTTGTACTCACCATTTTGTGCAAGTTAAACTTGAAGCTTCTAGCAACTCTCATAAATTTTTCTTAAAACATCGTTTTGAGTTGGAAGATGTTTCATTTTGTTCAGAAATGTTTGCTATATTGCCACTGGCATGCTTGATAATATTTCTGGCTTCGATTTATCATGGACACAGCTCAATTCACGGAAAAGTCATCTTTGCAAGGTTTTTAGAAAATCTTTCCAAAAGCCTTCTACGAAGCCCCGATCATTATGAATTTCGATAGCAAACATCTTGGAGTATCCGTTCTTGCGCTTAGCTCAATATCGATTCTTTACAAAAATATTGTATATCTAGCTGGAGTCTTAAGAGTTCTAGTAAATTCACAGTAGTCCGTGATACTTTTTTGTTTCTTCATATGAAGTTTGTTCATATTAAAATTGTGCGATCCCTCGATAACAAAAACATTAGGAAAGAAAGTGACTCATGAGCTGTAGTTATTTTTAGAGAAAAGACTTGAAAAGTTGACATTTTTAATAGTACAAGAGTTATATAGATAATGCTCACTTGCTTTAGTACACTAATGTGACTAAAAGTGGAACTTTCATACTGGACACAATATTTTTCTGTTTATACTTGTTTTAATTTTTATTTATCCAGGTCATCTTTAATGTAAAAACGTGCTCTTAGGATATAATAGCGATCTTTATTTGTAAATATATATCAAAATTCACTTTTCTTCTACCAGAACGATATCAAACAAAAAGAATCTAACATATACACAATATTTTTCATTCGTTTTATTGACGAAGCTAGTCTAAAATTACAAGTATTGAGATATATGAACTCTTGACACTCTTGACGATTGATTTAAAATTCGTCTGTAAGTACATGCACGACAAATTCTCCAGAAATCCTTCTTCCTCTTTCTTTAATGTGAGATATGTCCTAGTATGATGGAGATAGAGTGTTATGAGCTACTTACAAAGCCTCTAAAGAAAGTTTTGTTGAAACTATTCTTCTCGCATCTCAGAATAGAATAACTATTCAGGGAAGTATTAAAAGAATAATTAAAAAGATGTGTTGTAAGATTAAATTTTAATTTAATTTCCTGAAAATTATTTCTACAATTATACTTTTTTAATTCTTTTCTAGGTTTTTTAACAATATGGATATTTTAAACATCACTCTTCCATCGCCACTAATGGAATTTTCATCATTCAAATCTTTAAAATCTTGTGGTAATCAAGAACTTGAACCACAATGTGAATATGAACGTCTTCTATTATTAAATGCTCAATTGACCACACCAGAAATAACAGCCGGTATTACTGGTCGTACAACATCAGAAAAATTTTCAAAAGCATTTTCTAGTATTCATCAAAGATTAGCTGAAATGGAATTAAAACTATCCAATGTTTTTATGAGTGAAACTGAATATTTACAAACATTAGAAGATCGTTTAGCCGAAGAAGAATTGCGTTTATGTCAAAAAATATCAGCATTGGATAAAATTAGAAAAGAAAAAGATATGTTAAAAGAAAAATTTGATGTAATTACACAACGTTTGAAATATGCACTGAATACAATGGATAATACAAAAAATATTTCGGTAAGAATATCTTTCTTACAATATCTGTTCAGTTATTTATACATGTTTTCATTTAGGATCAATATCTAGCAGGATTATATGAAAAAAACATGTTACTAGATGCTCAAGTTCATGATTTAATGTCTGGAACATTTGATACGTTAATGCGTATTCGTCATCAAGTGAGTGATGATGTTAGAGAATTTCATCAAACAACAGCAGAAACAAAACATCAATTACATTCGAAACAGGTTCTAGTGGAAAATACAGAGAAATCTGTCGATTTAATTTTGGAACTTGTTCGACAATTAGCAGAAGTCAACGATGCACATAAAACAACATTATCAACTTGTGTACAATCAATGGATGATAAATTAGAACAATTTGAACAAACACTTGATGAAACATCTGAATGGAATATTGAACAAGAAATGGCTGAAATCAAATTACTAGAACGACAAAAGCAAGTATTAAATGAAGAATTGAAAGACAAGGCAATTTTATTAGAAAAAATACAACAAATATTACAAAATTCTGCTAAACAAGAGTAAATTGTTTTTGTCACTTTTTGATATCATTTTATGTGTTTTAGCACAAGACTGATTTGTTTTCGATTTTTAAAGTTTTTTATCTGTTTTTGTGTGCGCGCTTTATAGTAAAGCTTCAAAAAACGATCAAATCAAGAAGTGAGTATTTAGAAAGAGAAAGTGTGACGAGGGTGATTCGCTCAAGTTGATGCGTGTTGTGCTTCCAGTATGACTTTAATTGATTTTATATGAGCTTATAGATGGTTTTAATCTAATTTTTTACAAGATACTATGAATATATCTTATACTATAGTCAATACGATAACAAGCTGTTACTGTTCTTTTTCTATCTATTTTTAGTAGAAAAACAATTTTAAAGATGTTAAATATTACACTTCGGATAAAAGACGAATAACATCTTATTACTTTTATTGTTGTTGCTTATGTTCAGACTAATAATATAGCAGCACTTGCACATCGTTCATTTGACAACTTAATGTTTTCAATTAGAGTATAGCTCAGACGATGAGAGTGAAAATCTAGCATCAGCCTCTGTCAGGCCCTATCTCTAATGAAAAGATCTGAGAACCATCTTAATATTAGAGGGCGAATGAGAAAATGGCGAAATCTATGGCTAAATTAAATTAAACTTTTGTTGGTCAAATAATGCGTTCAATGTTCAGTTCGATTTTATCAATATTAAATTCTATAATTGTTAACGTCTTCAAAATAGACTAGTTGGCTATATATATTTTTTTGTTGTGATCAAATTTTCATTGTTAGTTATTTGTTGCATAAATCAAATACACCAATACTAATCGAAATTATGAAAAAAATGTTAACATTTTTTGCTCTTAAAAGATAATTCATATTTTTTTTCCTATTTAATACGAAAAAACTGAATACAAAATCAATGAAACAAAAATGCAAGATAAAAACACATTTGATTTAAAAAACGTACTAAAAAAAAGATCTTTAATCTATAGAAACTGTAAATATTCAAATCTTTTTGAATAGTTTTATTTTTATTTATCATGAGAAAATAGATGTCAACTTTTTATTTCATAAAAACTATAAATATTTATTTAAGAAAAATGCTTATTTTTGTTCAAATAAATTATCACATGTTGCAAACTTAGATCTAAAGATTGATATAGAGTAATATTTTCTTTTCTAGCTAAATCTTCTAAATATTTTCTACTTCTATTAATATCACATATATCGGCATTATTTTGATTATTAAATTCTTCATCCATATATTGTAAACAAATAACAATGTGTGCCTTATGTTCACCAATTAAAAATGCTAATTCTGTACATACATTAGATAAACGTTCACTATTTGTTATAACATAATAAATTAGACGACATTGTTTACGTGCATGTATATCATAGACATTGGAAAATAATTGTGAACACATTTGTTTTAAACAAGTAATATTATTTTTCTCTAATAATGGGGATACACAATTATCATACCATGTATTATCACCAGCATAATAAATATCAAAATACGATGATGATAATGATGGAAAAGATATCGATGTAATAGGTTTTTCTTGAACTTCATCACTTTCATTTTCAATAGAAGATATCACTGACGGTTGAAATATATTACGTAGAAAACGAAACGGTAATTTAAGTATTTTAGATAAGGATTGAGTTGAAATATCATTCGTACGGATAAAAGGAATGTAAGGAGAAAATTTAGATACTATTGTTGAGACAATCGGTATATCAGTTAAATTAACACTAAAATTAAAAAGTAAAGTGATAATCAGTAATATTCATACTTGTTTGATAAGTGTCAATACTCAGCAATATGATACAAATTTTTAATTTGTTGAAGGTTCACAGCTCACAGAAACTCAAGATATTATGATAATTAGTAATTCTGAATAGTTATTAAAAAGACGAGAAAAATGTTCAGCAGAAGTTGTGAAAAAAATACGATCTTAGTTCTATTTTTATCAAATGTTATAAAATCGAGTTCAAAAAGTTGTTTCACTCTGTTGAAGATCGTTATGTTATCTCCGAAAAAATAAAAAAAGTATGACAACTTCAAAACTATTTCAAACAATTCAAACTTTCATATGGTTGCACAAGATGATGTTTCTGTCATTCTTATTTTTATCTGCACTATAAGTTCAGATTCAATCGAAAGTATCTTCTTCATAGAAACTGTACAGAAATCAAACATTAAATTTTAAAATCAACTAGAATCAAAATATCTAATATTAGATTTCTAGTAGAATTTTTTCTTATCTCTCACACAAAAGGTCTAATCACTTCTTCGTTTCGTCCAGACAACGCTATAAGTTGACACACAATATAATAAAAGAGTTGAAATAGAATATTCGAGGATTTAAAAAGTTGGGTCTGTTAAAATCAAGATCTACCTTAATTGTTGTTGTATCTGTTCATCATTTTGCTGTTCGTCCATGACGTCATAAAAATCAGAAGATGATGAAAACAAGGATGATGAAGATGATAATGTTCTGGACAATAAGGAATCACTGTCATCACCAATTGCTGAGTCACATGTTGATATCTGTGTTGAACACAATTTTGGTTTATGAAAAACATGTTCTTTTAAATAAGAATTGAATAAAAATGAACGAATAAATAAACTTTCGTTATTTGATAATCGTAATGGACGTTTTGCTGTTGATTGAGGAAAAGGGCAAGATGTAATTGATAATCTTACTTGTTGATGTTTAGAATATAAAGATTGTGGTAGTGATATTTCAGCAGAACTATTTCGACGATTAGGCAAAGGTAAATCATTTTTACTTTCAAGTTTTTTTTCCACATATTCATAGAATTCATCATTTGACTGATAGATCGTTTTATTTGATAATGACTGTCTAATAACTACAGGTGAAGAAAGAGAGGTATTTTGAGAGTTTGATGTTCCATATGGATTTGATGAATATGAACGTGATTCACATTGTTCATTATCAAATACAGAATCTAAACAGATTAAGCAAAAGACATCTGAAGTTTGAAATAAAAGTGATTTGTTAACAATTACTATTGAGATGGAATAGTTTAAATGTTACATACCACGGATTGTTCTTTTCTCATTGTTATTATTTTCATTGATTTCACTGCTTGTTCTATTTGTTATATCTAGTAAAAATGCTGCATATTCTAACGCAACGCTAACACTATCAAAAATGGGTATATTAATACTTTTCAACAATATTTTTAATGTTTTTCGTGCTTGATAAACATTATCAAAATCATCATCCATTTGTTGTTGTTGTTTAGTTTCTTCATAGGATTTTAAAAATTTTGCATGTTGACGATTCAAATCATTCATGACAACAATTAAATTTCTTCCTTTTGCTGCTAAATAACTAACTTCAATAATAGATGATAGAGCACGTGTATCTTGATCAATTACAAAAAAAAGTAAAGGTGCTAATTCTTTAGCTTGATGTTCAATTTCTACTAAATCTTCTGTCCATTGACTGACTTGTGGATTAAAATAAGATACACATCGTGATTGAAAGTATGGTATAGCTTGATCATGACGCCATGTTGTTGGATTACATGAACCACCCAAAAATACTTGATACAAGCAATTATGTTTTCGTTCAGAATTAGTATGTTGGGGAGATGTTAAACCATGAAATGAATATTCATCGGAATAAAGTTTTTGTAATATTAATAATTGTAAATATTGAACTAAAATATTCAAACAGAGTATGAATTATTAATGAAGTTAATGATATATACCAAATTTAAAGGATAATTCTGTTTATTTTAAGAATACTAAGTAAATACCAAGGGGGAAAAAGCATACTTCCGTACTTCGCTGTACTTCACCGTACTTCTCCATACTTCGTCATACTTCTCTCAAGAAAGAAGTACGAGAAGTACAGAGAAGTACGGAAGTGTGCTTTTCCCCCCTTAGTAAATACTCACAAGCATTTTTTATACTCGATTGTAGCGAATTTTCACAACCAACGACCATCGATCGATTATTTTGTTGTCGTTTTTTTTGATGAATAAATTGTATATCGTCGATAGATATTTTTAAAAATTTAAGTTCGCCGAGAGACATTAAGAAGTAGAAGAGAAGAGAAAAAGAAAATAATTAGGAAAAAAGTGTTATTCAACTACATGCTTGCCGGTTTTGGAGTCTAACATTTTAAATAAAATCTAAAAATGAAAAGATAAAGGTGAAAGTAACTTTTTGTTTTTCTTTTATAATACAATAATACAGAAAGTCAACAATAACCGTATACTCTTCTTTTGGGTGACAGCACTTTTGTCGTGTGACGAAAGTTGTGTGACATTTTTGCGGGGGAGTACCAGTTCACACTTTGGTCACAAAAGTGGTGACCTTTCGTAACCAACAGTGTAATATACCTACAACTATCGTCACATTCCATCACGAACTTTCCTCACAACCCAAAAAGAGCTTTTGTCACACTTATAACATAACAGCAAATAACAAGTTATCACGTGTGATGAAAGTTCATGTACGTTTATGCTTTATTTTATCGCTTTTCTCACCTTTATATACTATTCTTATTGACTGTAAAAGGACTGCTTGTATTTGAACTACTCCAGACCGAACTACTCCCAAACGCAAGAGACGCTTGATTTTGATACTTTGACTTTAGAAAAGACTTCAAAAAGATTTTTTAGGTCTTTCGCTAAGAAAATGCAATGTTTGTAAAGGAAAAAGCAAGAAGCTATTACTCCAGTTTGCACTGCTACAGTTTGCATTACTGCAGTTTGTACTACTAGACTTTGATTAATGAACTTTACACTACAACTTGATTTTATCGCAGCCGTTTCATACAACGTGTGACAAAAGTGTCGTGCCACATGTCGAAAAAACCAGACACTTTCGTCATAAAAGGGGTTAACTTTCGTAACCACTATGTAACATAGCTAAACTTTCGTCACATGCCGAAAGAAGTTTTGTCCTTGAAAACAGAACTTTCGTTATGTGACGAAAGTTCAGCAATATCCGATGACGAAAGGGCATGGTGACGAAAATGCTGTGAAATGTTCTTTTTTTTCTCGATCGAGCTCTCTATCAATACTTTAGGTTAGCATAATTCGTATCATTCTGCTAGTGTTGATTATACATACCTGCTCTGTTTTTGAACTCTGTTACGCATTTCATCAGTGAAAATTGGTGATCTTCAGAATTTTATATAATGGTGTGAAAAGTCAGACGTATCTGTGTAGTAAATGAAATAAATTAACATATAGAATTATACTCACTATCAATATTTAATAATATAGGTTCTTCCTAAAAGCGTTAGTAAGAAATAAAACTATGATAGGGTAAAAATGACGTCATTATCATCAAGCTGACAATATTCTTTTAGGAAGTACAAGCTCCAACTTATAGACAAATTACTAACTAATTACTGATGCGTAGAAAAAAATATTTAAAGATAACGTAAATGACACTTCAATTTAGTGAGAAAAAAATGATGTTATGACAGTATTTATTAAAAGTTTATAGCGACCCTTGTAATCTATCCGATTTCACCTGGATGTCTTATAATTTAGATTAAATTACATGAAACTGACTACGATTATTTATATACAATTTTTTTTCTAAACTTTTTATATACAAGAATATTTTAATATTCTTTTTCAAACGATTTTTTCGATAAGTCAGAAAAATAATCGGTAGAAACCAATGCAAAAACATGGAAACAAATAAATAAATTTTCTCTTTTGTCCATACAAAGAATGAATGAAAAAACATTTGTTATTAATGAATTATTCTCTATAACAATGAAAACATGGAGGTTTGTAATCGTGAAGGCAGTCGTCCATAAATCACATGATCACTTTTTTATTCATCACTCAAATGATCCCCTCGTCATAATCATGGGATCAACTTTTTTTCTCAATTTTCTCTAGTGCTAAAATTAACGCTTACCGAAATGCAGCACAACCACTCAGTGTGGATAACCTTTCAAAATGTCTATCTTCTTAATATATGTATGCATTTTAAAGTCCAACAAAGCGATTTCACTTGAAATTGAATCTAACAACTCTATTCTAGAGATGTGCACGAGTACCGTTCTCTGACCTGGAGATTCTTTTTTTCACTCGTGCCCGATCTATGCCTAAAAATCTTCTCCTTTTCGATTTTCAGCTAGAAAGTTTTCTTTTTCGGCTGGAGATGTCAAGTTATTATTACGTTCTCAAGTAAGTCTTTTAAAACTTAATGTATTTTGGCTGAAATCTTGAATTTTTCCACTAAAATCTTTCGAGTTCCGGACCCGTAACTGCTGTACCAGTACCAGACCCGTATCCAACCTTCGGATCGGGTTGCACATCTCTACTATAGGCAGTAAGTATCCACCTCTAGTGTAAGCGCAAGGTACTGTTATAAAGCAGGATAGACGACTTTTTCAAGATAAAAAAACT